AAGGGCCGGACCCGACGGCACCCGCGGGCGCTCCCTCCGCCGGGGCGAGCCCTGCCTCGGCGTCGTCACCTGCGCCGGCCTTAAACCGGGGCTTGCCCGGTAGCGAAAGCCGTCCGTGAGTCCTGGCGTGAACGGGAGGAGTGCGAGACCCGGGTCCAAAGTGGAAACAAAAACCCCAAACCAAACCCAAACAAACATGGCAAAACAACTCCTCAGTTTCTTGCTGCAAAGAAGTTAAAACCTCGAAATACCCGTTTCTCGGTAGTCTGAGGGAAAACGCTTTCCTGAAGCCTTCTGCACCTCCCAAGCCGGCATTGATGTTAGTAAAAACGTCCAAATCGCCAAAACTCAGTCAAAGCTGAATCTGAAATGACAGCTCCGAGCTCCTCAGATACTACCTAAAGGAAACCTGAAGGCTAGTATTTTTATTTGCTCAATTATAGCTCTCTGTTTCATGGCCTTTCTCAAGCAACCTTGTTTGCTTTGTTCAAAAATAAATGAACACTGCAGGGCTGAGACAGCATCTATTTTTCTATTTTTTTGTAAAGCTGCTGCGTTCTCTTTCTACCACTGCACATTAAAACACCAACATACACTTAAGTTTTGCTAGAAGCCTGATCACATGGGGGTTTTGCCTTTGGTCTGCTCTCTCATCCGTGGAGCAAAAAACCCCACCCATCTTTGCAGCCGGCTGTGTGTTCACCCCCCTCCCCGTCAGGCAGGCACCCTTCCAGGTGGAAGCAGAATGCATACAGGTGCTACCTCTGTGTTAAAATAAAAGGAGAGGGCCCAGCACTGGTTGTTGGGAGTCGCTCAGGGAACCTTTGTAGAAGGCAAGTTAAAATGAGCAGAAATGTAAATGTACACTGGTGTGGGAACATTAATGAAGTTGCTTGGAACCCAGCCTTGCAAAAAGATCTGCAGTGACAACCCTGACCACCAAGTTGCGATGGATGCCTCGCCTTTTAGAGGCATCTAGACCTATACACACATCAAATCTATGTGTATAAATGCGGTTTCTGACCACTTTTTTTGTCTTTTAAGTGTCTGAATTTTGCATGGTGGCTTCACTCAGGATGTGTTTCCCCCTCTGGAGGACATGGATGGACAGATTTCTGTCACCTTCTGGGGAGCACATCTTCAGGAAACTCATAGGAATGTGATAGCGAAAAAAAAACAAAACAAAACACCAAACCCAGCTGGATCACTTTGTTGAACTGGCTGCGGGGTTAAACATTGCTGGGAAGGAGTCAGAGAGGAAGGGGAGAGGGAAGGAAATGAATTGGACTGATTCACGATGATGTGGTCCAAGACTCATTTCTCTAGGAGACAGGCTAAAAAACCTACGGCCTATAGTAAGGCCCTGAATTAAAGCTAGCAGTTTTATACGCGCCGATCACCACAGTATCTAGGTGCCTTCCAGTAATGCATCTCGCGTGCTGTTCTTTCATCTTCCCCTCAGGAGAAGTGGGTGTAGTTGGGTGTCATTGCAGTAAGATTTGCATGTATGTATGACTGGGGGGGGATTTATTTTATATTCTGTGCACAGAATTTTGATCAACCCTATATACTCCAGAAGGCAACATCGAGGAAAAATGTGGAAGATCTGGAGTGCCCTCCGTCGCTGCGGTTCATTCCACCGACAAGACAGACACCCTAAGAGTGTCTGTCTCCTGGAGGAACTCATTTTACCCTTTGGATATCCTGGTCATGTGTCAAGTATCAGCTGAAGATAAAGATCAAGAATGAGAATTTGGTCTGAAAGGCTATCGGAGGTGAGGGTAGAGGACAGAGGGTGGTTTTCTTGTTCTTATTGTGCCTTTTGCCAAGACAGCATAAACCAGTATTCAGTTGGGAGTTCTGAAACTTTCCTGTTCGGGTGTATCTCACCGCTCCAGTCCTGCCCTGCAAGAACTCAGGTTTGGGTATCCAAGGTCCAGCAACTTCACAAGAATGGGACGGAGCCTTCTTGCCAGCAGGACACGATAGAAAACAGACATTATATTGGTACAGTATAGAGCAAAGCTGACTGGAAAGTGACACCGTCACTGAGCACAAAAACATGAGCTATGGTCTCACAAACACCTGCACATGTGGCTTCGTTTACTTCCACGTGTCGCTGCACTCGTTAGTCCAGATGGCCACGTGACTAGAGACGAATGCATGCACAGGACTGAGACAGAGTTTAATGCTTTCACAATTGGCTAAACCTACATGCAGATTTTTTTGGTTTTTTGGGGAGTTGGATGCTAGTAAGAGAGATGAAAAACACAATACAAATGAGAACCATACGTTACGGAAAGAGCTCGCTTTCAGGAGTGAGGAGGGAATCTGAGATTGTGTACCACAGGCCAGTTTGGATGGGAAGACACCGTGCTAAGAGTGCTATGCTTATAAAGAAATGAGACCAGCCCTGCTATGTACTGCTTGTAATTCAAAGACACAAATAAAGAGTCAGAGAAGTAGAACATGTAAGTAAGCCTGGTGGGTATATGTTATTTGTAGTTACTGGAAGAAGGTAAGACATTGTGCATGTGCTTTTTAATTGGCCAGAAATAGGAAGTAAGTTCATCTTGTATTCAAGCTCTTTTTACATTACAGGGATGGTACATTATGGAGCTTAGCACTCCTGCCAATGTTCACCGTCAAAAGAGTAAATTGCCAGTTTTCACCAAGTTGCATATGCCTCCATAAATATATATTCAGCAGGGGCATATGCCTTCCCATTTTAAGGTTATACTTTAACACATTTGATTAGAGAGATGCATGTGCTGGGAGCCTGCTGCATTTATTACATTAAAAAAGAAGAAAAAACCCTCACATTTCTGTATGATACATCCTTGCTTGGTTTTGGAAAATGAAGGTGGCAGGCCTGCTTAGTCGTACTAAGTCACACAAGCACTTGTTCAGTCCCCCCACCTGTCAAAAGAAATGGGAAGTATTTAACTATTTGAGGGAATATTCTGGTCCCACTGAGGTTAATAAATTTTGCCTATGGGATCACAAATTCACATGACTATTTTTAGGACTGGTAATGGCAGGGAAACGGGAGATGAAGCTGGAACACTTCTCTGTCTGATCTACTACTCAGAAGATGCGACCTCCTAAGTGTTCACATGTGAAGATAGTCATTGAATGCCTTATTATTCCACTAAGCAGAGCTGCTGGCTTCAGAAGATAAAGTGGCCTCCTGGGGCTTTTACTTCAGTATTTTGTATTCCTCGGAGAAGGTAACAGAGAAGGGAATAACATTTTCAGCAACCTTGACACTACCTAATTTTGCAATGACAAACGTGCAGTAGCACCTGTGGTCCAAAACAAACTGTCAGCTTCTTGCTCATCACCTTGTCCTGTGGTGCTTTCATCTGAAAACGATTATAGCACAGCTCTTTCTTTGAGGTGTGCCATCAACACTCCATATTGACATGTTTCCACCTCCTCTCTTTGTAGGCAAACTGATGAGAACAGGGCTTCCACTCTCTCAAAACAGTATAACAGTAATGCCTTCTCGGATACCGCTGTAAGGTGTTGGCAGTATATCCCATGTTTTGGCTTTGGATGGACAGGGTAGCGTTTGGAGAGGAGTGGCTGGCAGTTGTCTTTCCACACCGGGCCCTGGAGCCCCAGCCTGTTGCTTGCATGTGGGTCTACAATGACCTTCCTCCTCACGCACCTGCATCTGCTGCTGGTGTTGACTAGGAAAATAGGATTGAGGCATGCACAGTGCACGGCTGTGTTTGCACGCACACCAGAAGAAGTCAGAAGCAGCAGCCACCCCTTCTCTGTACATTATAAGCAGCTAGCACTCACAGCCAGAACTAATGGAAAAACTCCATCTCACTGATAAAGGCTATGCCATAGACAAAAGCTATTATAGAAATCCTGTTATCATTCACTTTACAAAACAAAGGGGGGAAAAAAAATCTGGCACCGGCTACAGAAGAAAACCTCCACAGTCTGAATGAATAAGGAACAAGGGATTCATCATCTCCTGTATGATTAAGTTTGCTTTTAGCTTCCATTTTTTTTTCTTCCCCAAACAGACCTTATTAAAAATAAAACAAAGGCAAATTGCTCTCTGATGGCTATTCCAGCCTCTGTCAGTGATGTATATTGGGAAATGGGGCAAGCCCACATGACCTCTGTCCTCCGTATCTTTGAGATAATAATGCTGCATTTTAGAAAAGTGCTTGAACTACGGTTTAAAAGTGCTGTATGCCAGTTCTCTTATTACAAAAATTCAGTAAGGAAAAACCTGGGACCTCTGAAACCATCTCAGATTATAGAAGGAAAGCAAATGGCGCTTGCTGTCACAGAGGTAATTCAGACCTATTATTTAACAGTAAGTTGTGATACGCTAAAAAGTTTGACTGTAGCATAATGAACTGCAGAAAGTAGAGAACTTTTTGTCTCTAGGGTCCTGTTCTTCTCTCAGTAGCAATGAAAAGCACTGTCGATAGGCCAAAGCTGTGCTGCAGCCTACAAATCAAGAAGCATCATCTTGCCATTTCAAGTTTTGCCTTTTCTTTTCCCCCTCATGTTGGGGAAAGCATCACACTTGAAGCTTTGCTGAGTTATTCAAGTTCAGTCACTTCATCCTGAGAAGTTTTAGCTTGTTTTTTTTAACAATCTCCTCAACTTACACTTCCTGTACAAATGTAAACCACGACAAGAGGGTAAAGCAGCAGGTTCTAAAGCTGAAGTAGGGCTACAAAAAGAATAAACTGGTTACTTAAAAGTCAGGATGAGTGTTTTCCTTTAGAAGCAACAGCTGGCTATAATTTCGGTTTTGGATCAAACAGTTACAGAATTGCCGATGAAAAGCCTTAAACAGGTTTAAGGAGATGCTTAAACTTCTAAGCTTCTCTTTAGTTCTTGCAAACCTAGTAAATCCTCCCTGTTGGATGCCACTCTCTTTCTGCAGACTGCTTAGGGAAGATGAGGTGCTATGAAATGGAAGTTTCTGAAGTCCTATAAATCACAGGGTATAGTCAGGTGATGCAGCTGAACTTACCTAAAGCTCTCTGCTATAAAAAGGGGACAGCTCTCCCTCCTGGGAACTCTTGGATACTTTCAGACCCCTTCCTGAGTGCCGAACTGGAAGTTGTTTTCATTTCTCACTCCCCACTGCCCAGAAATTTTTCATCTTGCAGAATACACCAGAATCAGGTTGCAAATGATCTGTCAAACAGTAAAGACGCTGTAGGATGGGTCCATACAGGAACTGCCTACTTTCACCATAGCAGATCAGCTGGCTTCCTATTGAACCTTAATTCAAAAGCTAAAGCCCATAATGAATCCTAGTGAATTTCAGTTTGCTGTTCTAACTGGGTATTGTGTCTGCATTCCCGCCCAAGCACTGTTTCCGTATCAGAGAAACATGTTTTCTCTGTTCACTGGATTTGTAATGATGGAGAATTATGCCACAAGCATCCCCAAACAGGGCAAAACACCATATATTAGCATGGATTTTTTTTTAAGAACATAACTTTTTAAGAACATAACTTTTTTTAAGAACATAACTAAGGCAGAAGTCCCATATCTTAGGCCAGGAAATTTTTAGGCGCTCTTAGGGTTTCTTACTTTCATTTTATACTCTGAAATTAGTAGCATTCAGAGAGACATGTTTGGAGCTAATAAGTGCTGTTTTCATTACAGATTTGGTTCTTTTGGCTCAATTATAGTTCAGTCTATTTTTATTTTTTCTTGTGACTGGGAGTAACTCAAGTACTAAGGAGCTCAAAGCTTGCTGGAACAGATAAAACAGACTTAAGTGCAACATATATTCATCCCATTAGCAGAAAAATAAACTATTCGGTGTTCATGTTAGTAACAGCTGTATCAAATTGTGATGATTGTTCTATAGATACAACTGCTTCAGTGAGAGTGTGCTGTCTGTAATCAAGTGTCCTTTTCATTTAGAGCAAATGCCCCCTTCCCCATTTCAAATGAGTACCTAGGATAGACTCCTAGACTTCTTGAAGGAAGTCTCTTACACGTACTAACAATCCTGAAACACATTTCACTTTATCTCCTCTTACGGAGCAGCATATATTTTGTCAATGAAAAGCCAGCCTGGTGTAGCAGCCCATGAATGGTACAGAAAAGGTTGCTACTGGTGCAGCTGGTCTGGATGACTAATACAACACAGAATACAAGTCACTCAAGTTTTTTTAGAGCGCTGGTACCATCCATTCTCAGAAACGTAAGGCCAGATAATGAATACTACTTTTTCACACAATTTATGTTGCACAGTCCTTTCAGATCCACACCAGAGCAGCTGCATTTTCTTCACTGGTTCCCATCATGTTGCAACTCCACCTTCACAAGTTGGTCCTCAAACTTTTGAATGTCTACTTGATGCTTCATTAGGAACTTCCCATTTAAATGAAAAACTGGTATGTCATATTTGTATTTATCATACCACACCGAGTTCTCCGGAAGGGTAATATCCACCTCCTGCAAAATAAACTGTGACAGAAAATAAATGTATTAGTACCTACTAGACACTGAAAAACAATACCTGCTTGTCTTTTGATCACTGTTTTTTTCAGAACTGCAGGGCTGTTTTCTTGGCGCTTTTGGATTTACTGTTCCATCATGTAGACAATTACCCATTTTGTGGGTACAAAATGTATGTAGCTACAATCCTTGGCTGTGCGTCCACAAAGATCTCTCTCCCTAGTCCAGGACGATATTCTTGATACCCTGTGCAGAACCACTCTCCTGTGAGCACCAACCACAACAAGTATGCAGCTGGCAACACAACAGCTGCCTGTTAGGCAATAGAGTGCAACACCTCTTAATGCTTCTGCTAACAGTTTCCTCCTTCAAGAAAGAGGTCAAAATCTGGTTGAAGAACAGCAAAATTACAATCACATCTAGTTCAAATACTTGAAGCCTCCACTTACTAACATCCTTCCCAAATGATATCATTACCTGCCTCATAGAAGTTGCAAACTCCTCTATCAGACAAGGCAACAGTATTTACAAAAACAGTGGTTTTAAAAACTATTGCAACAAGGTGTATATCAGTTTGGTTTGCCAATACTTACTTGAGTAGCATTGTTGCAAAATGCTTTTGGATAATGAGTTTTATGGAAATCACTGCTGAAGTTGTCTTGAAGAGGTCACCCATGAAAGAGTAACGGATGCAAATAAATCCAAGCAATTTTCTCTTACAAAGAAAGAATCCTGATTAACTGTTCTTTCTATACAGAAAATGTAGACAGTATTGTAATACATTACCCTTCTCTTATATGGCTCAAGCACTTCTTTTGCTTCATCACATAGAGGGCATGGTTTCTAAAGGAAAATATTCAAACCAACTTAAAGCATACAGTAAAACACACAGTTCATTTGTACTGTAAAGTAACATACACAGACAGATGCGATCATTACTGTAACTGTAGTTTCCCTCCCCACTACCACCCTGTCTTACTGCTTCCTAAGTCTTTATTGGTACAGCATGGATGAAAATAGAATAAAATATTCAGCCACATAATTTAATTATTTCTCTTTTGCTATTATTTTTCTCATGGTGCAACTCAACAGCCTTCAACAGCTCTTCTAAAGGCTGATTCAAGGGCATGGTTTGGAAGGCCATGCACAGATCCCTTCTTTTGGTCAGCAGCAATGAAAATTCAAAGCACTGCCTGAAGAGCTGAAAACAACTGCCGGTACCACTCTTGATAGAAGAATTTCTCTTGATAGAAGGGGGAATGAGGAAGTCAGATGAGTAATTTCTAATCTGCTTCAGATCGAGTCACTTGGGTCAGTTCAAATAGCAGAAGAAAGTGATTTAAGATAACCTGTCTGACTTTGCCTGCAAGGAATTAAGCAAACCTGCAGAGCTGGGAGGGTAGTAACCTCCAGCAGGGAGAACTGGCAAACAGCTGCAGTGTTTTGACCTGTGATGGAGTCAAAAAAAACTTCTCACTTTTGAAAACTCCCTGGTATTCCACTACAGGTGTACAGCTGAATTCTGATCCATCACGATCATTAGAGCAGTGCATACCTGAAGAAGAGACTCACATGAAGGCATGCTGCTTCCGTCTTTGTAATGGCAGAATTCAGCCTGTAATTCACATAGTGAAGTATACAGTGGTGAAGGTGACAGCTCTGTCCCTCTGCCGTGAAATACCTCTCACAGCTGGAAAAGACCTTCTCCTCTCCCTCCCACATAAAAGTATTCCTAGGACTTGTTTAAACATGGAATTAATCTGAAACAGCTACTTCTTCCTTCCTGCGTGTGACTTAATTTTGATTAAACACTCCACTTTTAATTCACATCTAATCTAAACTGTCTTTCCCACACAGACAAGTCCTTGTGCTCTGAAAACCTATGCAAGATGCTAAAGATCAATGGTACTGTGTTCTTGCTGCTACTTGTTGCTTTTGGAGGGATTGATATACCCGATACTGGTGGCTGAAATGAACGTCCCAGAATCCTGCACATCAGATTTGTAACATGCCAGGCTCCTTACAGTTAAAGTAGGACATACTTGGTTCCCCTAGGCCTGTGGAGAGCTTTCCAACAAAACAGTCATAAAAAAACATTTGACAAACTAAGCTGACTCTTATCAAAGAATATGTTTCTACTCCTGCTCTGATGGCAAGCTTAAGCACTACGTGGTACTAATAAGATTGGAATCAGTTTAAAACCAGATAGTGAACTACTTTAATTAACAGTGAAATCTGTTTAAACAGTCCATTTATATTAGTACATATTTTTCAGTAGAAGAATCCAACAGTAGGTCTCTCCCATCAGTTGCTTTACGCTAATTTGCAATAGGGCTGCCTGGATAAAGCTGTCTTGGACAACCTTCTCTCTCAGATGTGTATTACAGTGGCAAAAGGGACTTCTGCTGCTGAGGTAGTAAAAATCCCTTCCCAATATGCCATATGCTGATCTGTTAGACAATATATGTGGTGCAAGGGACAGTTTTATTTCTACAGATAATTGCCATTTATGCTGCATACTTAGACTGCAGTTTTGTGGTCATTTTAAGCTGGCACTGATGCTGAAGGAAGCAGACCCATCTTCCTGTCACTGCTTCTTCTGTGCTGGCATAAGCACTCAAACAGCTGCACAGTAGAGCTAGACAGGAGAACTGATCTGAGTTAATAGCAACCTTCCAAAAAAAAAAAAAATTCTTTTTTTAACCTGAAGCAGTTGCTGCACGAATGCTTGTGTTGGCATAAAAGCAGCCCATGAGGGGAAAACCATTTGCCAGCACTAGCTTCTATTGGTTTGAACCAGCCACAATAGTCATAGCTCCCTCCTGCCTTCTCCTCCTCTTTTCTCCTTATTCTTAAAAGTAGGAAGGAGGGGAAAAGGAGTTAATTAGCATAAACTAAGAGTGCGGATTAGATTTATTTTAAAGTAGTCTGCATTTTGCTCTGCCATTTCCAGTGGTATCAGACATGAAAAACATTTAAAGTTAAAAACTCATTCAATGAGAGGCCACTTCAGAGAACTACTTGCACTCTGCTATTAGAAAACTTGATTTCATACAGTGTCTTACTAGTTAAACATTTTAAGACACAAAAATTCATACAAAGAGCTTTTTTCCAATTATTAACCCAAAAGTAAGCTCATCATTCCCTATTTTATCACATTTGGATCATGAATGAGTTGATGCTGAATCAAGCAGGGGGAGAGAGAGCTGCAACTTTGAAGTATGGCTCTTCTTATAGTATGCATTGCTCTGATTAATAAACAGATGGCGACCTTTTATTTTTTAAACTTTGCAACATATGAATAGCTTAAACACTCCTTCACGGCTAGGGATGGAATGAACAAACACTGTGCAGAAGGAGGAAATTATTTTATCACATCCGTCTTCAACAAATACCGCCATACCAATGTCAACATTCTCAGTGCTTCACATTTCTAGTTATTCCCCTCTTGAAGGCTACGTCAACCGTGTAAATGCAGCACAGCCTGCTGTGTGCCATCCTATCTAAAAGTGCAGAAGACCTCTGCAGGTAACACAGGCTCTTGATGACAGTTTGTGGAAGGTTACAGTTCACAAATGACCATTCCTGTTCATGACATATCTTTTTAAAGCATGCCCAAGAATCCTACCTGTTCATGCCACAGACAAACCTTTGCCTGCATTTTATTCCTGTTATACAGCCAATAAAGCAAAAAGAGGGTAAAGCACAATCTACTTTTCCTTGTGCGCTACCAACACTACTTGGATACATTTTCAGTCGCACAGGTAGTGTTGAAATTAAACATGAGTGCCTCAAAGAGCCTACTTCAGCTGTTGATGCTTATCCTGGGCAGATAATGTATAAACAACTCATCTTCCTTCTCCATTTCAGTATGAAACACTGGCAGTTAGAGAACAATTTTCAACTAGTAAATGGACCATAGTGCCACCAAGACACAACTAACCTGGAATCTTCATTCATTGGGTGTAACTACTTGCTTGCTACAATGACAGTAGGACTGTGCTGTAAAGCCTGGTGTAAAAGACACCCCCAAAGTAAAATGCCCAATACTACACAAATTTGAAGGGGACAAAAAGCATGGCCAAGCCACTTCATCTGGGATTCATGTATATTAAAGTTGATAAATACGCAGTCTTGCCTAGCTTTATTCTGTAAATGACTTTTACCTTGGTGAATAAAGTCAACACTGGCTTATTTGTTCTGGCTGAACAGAGTTGTCTCCCCAGTGGACTGGATGAATGTCTTGCTAGCTGCAGTGTTCTGCTCAGAAAACAAAGCACCATCATCCTGTTAAGGCAAAAATAGTAAAATGTTTAACTGTTTTATGGCAAGTGATAGCTCATGAAATTCAGTGTTAAGATAAATGTGATACTTCAATCACAGTTCTAAAATACACACAATCAAACCATTTTCCCAGGATTTTTATGTTCACAGTATCAACACATTAACCAGAAAAATGGCTTACTATGCAGCAGGCCAGAAACACTGCGTAGCTCGAAAAGTGTAGTTCCATTTAAAAAAAAAAAAAAAAAAGTTTTCTTGCTGAAATGCCTCTTTTAAATTCCCTAACACAAATGCTGACACAAATGCATTACGCTGTTTCAACTGCATAGATGCCAGTAAGAATTACACAATATTAACAAAATGCAAAGTGCCATGCTTTGAACCGCAGTAATCTTGCTGCAGTGCTTGACATATTCTACTTGCTTAAAATTATTCCATCAAAAAACTAATCTGTACCTAATCAGAATATTAATATAATGCTTTCTGCAGTGAATAAAAAGCTGTAGCCAAGACAATTTAGCTTGGTAATATTAAAAGCAGGCACGTTGCCCTGAGTCCTTCCTGCAACAGCAAATTTATTTATGAAAGATGTTGATGGGTTTGTGATTTCTTTGGGAGAGTTTAAGTAAATTTAGTGTTGTTGAATTGTGCCATATGGGAATCTTGAAGACACCTATTCATAATAACACTAATAATAACAGTGCTTCCTCCAAACCTGTGTATTAATGGGACCTTAACAAGGCATTTTAGGACTGAAAAGCAAAAACCAGTAGCAAAAGGGAGTCTGCATGGAGAATATTGGCAGACTATGTGACACTTGACATCAGAATTTACACTGGGAAAATTAAGCCCCTTTTACATGAAGCCAAACTGCTTCTGTCAAGTTCCCGTGGAGGCATGACTTACTTACCTGTAGTCCTACTGACTACAGCTAACCACAAACACAAACATAATGGCACAAGTTTGAATAACTAAAGTGTGAGCAGGACTATGTTGCAACTGATAAGCACGTTTTAGGATGTTCAGTAAAAAAGAACCTAGTGCATTCACTGAATCTCTCAGTACTACTATTACATAGTTTTGTTTTAAGAAAGACAGTTTAGCCAGCGTTAACAGCTTAAGGAAGAACACAACATTGCAGTGGACTCTCAACTTAAGGGTACTTAACTGCTATGTTTCTAAGCAACAACCACAAGAAAAACTGAATGGGTGACATGACACTGCTCCACCAGCCTTACTGCACTGTCAAAGACACCTTTTTTTTCCCAGAGGACTCTGGTAAAGGTAACTTGCCATGTTTCCAGTAGAAGTTTCAACAGAGGAAATCCAAAGAAAAGGTATTACCATGTGAAAATTGCAGGCTCAATTATAAAATTGACCACGTAAAACCAAAGTTGTCTAAAACAGAGTAGTCTCCAACAACCAGGCTTTGGGTTTACTGTTTAGTTTGGGACAGAAAAGATTCTTCATCTGTACGTGTCAGGCTTGATACCAGCAACAGTCAGCTGCAGGGGTGGAGCAGTATGCTTGGCTGTTGTTGCAAAGTTGCAGGTGACTGGCACAGCACACACTGCCACGGGTCATAGTCCTTTGGCAGCTACTGCATTTGTTTTACTTAACCAGGTGGAAATCTAATTGTCTGAGATTTTATATGATAAATACCAAAATAAGCTTGGAACCTTTTGGGAAAATGCAAATCTGGATGACAGTAGCCAGCCTCAGTCATACTTAGAAATTGTTATGTCCACAGTAAATAGGTGACCAGAATGGATATGGTTTTGGCAGAAAAAAATTGCATGTCGGCCTGCTCACATGCAAGATAAAAATGCCAAAACAAATAGTTTGCATTCTGGCAAGTTTTTAAATGAATGCTTTTGTTGCCAGCCTAGCAAGCCAAATTTTGTGCCTTCAAAACAAGGAAAATGCCCCCACATTGTTCTGTGAACAGCAGAATGAATAAAGCCTGGATTTCCATGTATCTTATTCCCCCATATACACACACATGAGTATAAAATGGCTGTTGTTCACTCCTTTATGCTTTTTTTTTTGGTCCCTCCGCCCTCTGGTAAATTTGCGTCCAGTGGACAACTCCTACCAAAACATCAACTATGGGGAAATGAATAAGACAATATCAGTACTGAAGCTTCAAGATCTCGCAAAACAAAATAAGCTACCACAGTGTCTTACCTCCTTGCCAACTTCAAATAAGTATAAGTGACACGGTCTTTGGAATCTTCACTGACCAGTACTACCACTGAAGCAAGAGCCTGCTGTTTCCAGAGTTAGCGTAAGACTGGCTGAACATTTTTATCAATAACCTAAGCAAAACAGGGTGCTGGCTGTCAATGTATTCACCTATGTAGAACGATACCAAGGCCGTACTGTAATGCCAGTTACAAAAAGACTCAAAGGACTAATCCCGATCTATAAAATGAGGCCAACCTCCATCCAGGCCTCAGTCACGCTCTGCTCTCCCACCAGCATAAAGCAGTCTGAGACACCTAGCCCTGAGGGAGGCTGAGAGACTGTCAGATGGCATCATGTTCCCACAGTACAGACGACACAGCTTGACTTCCCTATGCTTCTGAGGCCCACAGTTGCCAGACAGCATCATTAGGAAGGAGGGCAGTCAGACCCGCTGCATTTAACCTGGGCTAAAGCATGGTGCAACTTCAGCTTTGCAGGATTGCAACTAAGGCTCTGCCCCCATAGAAATTTGCTTTTAAATCAGTAGAATTTACTAATCTTATTTTATTGGATGAGGTAAAAAGGTTGTGGATAAAACCAAATAGCAGTAGTTTTGCACAGACACTGAAGGGTTCCACTGTTGTGAAGAGTTAAGTATAGCTGCTATTGATCAGGAGCTGATGAACATGAATATCCAATCACTCATCAGGAAAATCTACTGCAGCAGCTCAATTTGTCTGAACAGCATCCCAGAGCCACACCAGCGTTTAGCACATGCACACTGCCATCATGTGAACAAGTGGGTTCCCAACCCTGGCCTGCGCTAAGCTGAGCAACATTTCTGGAATGCAGAGCTCCAGCCTCAGAGGTCACTTCTATGTCAGTTTCATCACTGACAAAAAAAGGGGAAGTGTCACACAGATGTCCCCACGGCGTTCACATCCTGCTCGCATCTGTATCATATCTGTCTTTTGTCACAAACAAACAAAAACACTAAAAACACACACAGAATCTTTCACCATGATTATTCTGGAGCTCTCTCTAGCCTACCCCCAAGTAATTATAAAGGTTTTTTTGAGAAACAAAATTAATACATCAACGGGTATGTAATACATATGTAAAAAATACATAAATACAAAGGATGCTTGCAAATGTCAGAACTTACTCTCCCTATACTACAATGCTAGAGAATGATTTAACAAATGATGCTTGTAAGCCTGGACTTGGCTCGTGCTGTATTTTGCAAAGCCAAATTGGACTAATTTCCTGTTAATAGAATTTCCATCACCTAATAAATCCTCATCTGCTGGAAAAATAAAATGTGACACTAAAACTAGCCATTATTTAGATGAGATAATTATTTCTAGAAACCTTATCTTAGTATCAATCAAGGCAAGACAAGCATGGCTGATTTTTCCCTCCAATTATGTACCTTTTAATGATGCAATATACTCTTAAACAATCTCAGCTTCAAGCCACCAATATACTCTTGCTCTGTGGTTCTGAATGTTTTATATACATGATTATCAACATGTTTGGACAGGATTATGTCCTGTTTTCCATGGGTTTGTATACATACACACTAGGATGAAATAATTTTGAACTTGCAGGCATTTGTCTGTATACACTTTGTCTGTATACACATTTGTCTGTAACACTACGGTTATGTAGCATTTGGTTTTTGGAACCTGAACCTGGGTTTGACAGATGATGGGGATTGCCTAGACAAATTACACCTCCTTCTACAAGGTCACAGTAACACATCAGGAACATGGAAAATGTTATATTGAAAATGTCCTAGACATAGTCCATTTGCCTTACAGAAACTTTCTAAGTGTCTATAAACTGACTCCTACCCTCCATTTAATCCTCATTCTAGTACGACAAAGAAGTATCAACTGAAAGAGAACAAGGAAAGCAAGCAGGTGCAAGTGTAAGAATACGTGCTGATCGCCCAGGTCAGCAGTGGCTTAAAACAGGCCCCTTCTGCTCTCCCTCGTTCAGAACGAGCTATGACCATCAAGGGAAGCAAAGTTGCTGGCAGTCTGCTGTTTTCCGTTTGATTGCTTAACAGGGAAATGCCAAACAAGACAACATGGTGCCACAGCAAGAAAGCAAGGAGCACGCGTGAGTAGGGAAACCAGCTCCTGTAGTTGTCGAGATCCCCACAAGGCTTTTACCCCACCAGTATTTCAGAGGAGGCATGCAAAATAGAGGAAAATCTTGAACTTATTTTTGCAAACTCACATAACTCTAAAGGTCTTTAGTGAAGAATCAGGTTTTTACATCAACTCAGAATGAAAAAAACATCATCAGTAATACCGCTTGTTTCTGTGAGGTGATGTTAGACATCAGTCGATGCATCTTTCCATACATTTTCTCCTCCAAACCACAGTGATCTGGGGTAAATGCCACAAACCCATCGCACTCCATTCCAGAACAGATTAGAAGTATGATTTCATCCTAACATGCAACAAGTTTTGTTCAGTGACGCCCTCAGAGGTACCCATTCTAGACTCTGGTCTAGAGTACTTCCAATTTCAGACAACTTAAAAAACATCCAACAGGTTGCTATAACGGCCACAAGGCCGTTTCTGAAGACTAAAGAACTTGCATACACAACAGGCCATCAGCATAAAGCAAAGTTGTAACAGAGCCTGTTTTAAACGTCTCCATTTGAAAACTTCCCAGCTAAATGATCCTCAAGGGGTGGGGGCGAGCCAAACTGGGTGAAGAGCGTATCCACAGGTCTTCCCATTATCTCCTGTAACGAGAAAGCCCGGCGCCTTCTGATCATCTTTTCTACATCAGTAATGCCCTCTACGGACAGGAAAAGCCAAGGCCCATCAAAAACGACAGCGGAGCAGAGGAGCCCGGCCAGCCC